GTGTGGGGATGGGGGTCCCACAGCCCCCTCCGGCCCCCGCTGAGCTCTCCCCTCCTCGGCAGGATGGCCACTTCTGTGGACGTGCTGGTCTCCATCTGCGTGATCTTCGCCATGTCCTTCGTCCCGGCCAGCTTCGTCGTCTTCCTCATCGAGGAGCGGGTCAGCAAGGCCAAGCACCTTCAGTTTGTCAGCGGGATGAAGCCCATCACCTACTGGCTGGGCAACTTCGCCTGGGACATGGTGGGGATGGGGATGGGGACAGGGATTAGTTCCAAGGGGTCTGGTCCCACCCCTGACCCCTTTCCTTGCTTTTCCATCCCCTCAGTGCAACTACCTGGTCCCCGCGCTGCTGGTCATCCTCATCTTCCTCTGCTTCCAGCAGGAATCCTACGTGTCCTCGGCCAACCTGCCCTCCCTGGTGCTGCTGCTGCTGCTCTACGGGTGATGGGGCAGCAGAGCCCAGCAGGGGCGAGGGGGTTGTGGGGCTGGGGGCAGCTGGGGTGAGGGGTTGTGGTGCTTGGGAGGGTGGTTGCACTCTCGAGCCCCCCAGGCTGGGATGTGCACCTCAGCCAGCCCCTGCTCTCCCCACTGCAGGTGGTCCATCACCCCCCTGATGTATCCAGCCTCCTTCCTCTTCAGCATCCCCAGCACTGCCTACGTGGCCCTGACCTGCATCAACCTCTTCATTGGCATCAACGGCAGCGTGGCCACCTTTGTGCTGGAGCTCTTCGTGGACCAGGTGAGCCTTGGCATGCCCTGCACGCCCCATCCCTCCCCTCCAGTGCCAGTGCCAGCTCCCCCACCCCTCTCTTTGCTGCCCCATCAGAACCTCAATGACATCAACCGTGTCCTGAAGAAGGTTTTCCTCATCTTCCCCCACTTCTGCTTGGGCCGAGGCCTCATTGACATGGTGAAGAACCAGGCAATGGCTGATGCCTTTGAGAGGTTCGGTGAGTCTGGGGGTGTCAGGGCTGCTCGCCCTCCCCAAAGCCCAGCACAGAGGTCCCCTATTCCTACAGCCCCTCTGGCTGCTTGCAGGGGACAAGCGCTTTGTGTCCCCCCTCTCCTGGGACCTGGCGGGGAAGAACATGTTTGCCATGGCCATCGAGGGCATCGTCTTCTTCCTCTTCACCCTCCTGCTGCAGTACCACCGCTTCTTCCTGCGCCTGGGGTGAGCGCTGGCCGGGGGGTACAGAATCCCAGAATCCCTGAGAATCAGAATCCCAGAATCTCTGAGAACCAGAATCACAGAATCCCTGAGAACCAGAATCACAGAATCCCTGAATCCCTGAGAATCAGAATCACAGAATCCCTGAGAATCAGAATCACAGAATCCCTGAGAACCAGAATCACAGAATCCCTGAATCCCTGAGAATCAGAATCACAGAATCCCTGAGAATCAGAATCACAGAATCACTGGGTTGGAAGAGATCTTTAAGATCATCGAGACCAACCTAGCCCCAACACCTCAACTAAACCCTGGCACCCAGTGCCACATCCAGGCTTTGTTAAACACACCCACCAACTCCCCAGGCAGCCATTCCAGAACTTTATCACTCTTTCCATAAAAAACTTTTTCCTAATATCCTGCCAAAGTTTTCCTTGGCACAGCTTAAGACTGTGTCCTCTGGTTCTGTCAGTGCTGCCTGCAGAAAGAGACCACCCCCCACCTTTCAGGGAGTTGCAGAGAGTGATAAGGTCACCCTGAGTCTCCTTTTCTCCAGGCTAAACACCCCCAGCTCCTTCAGTCATTCCTCACAGGGTTTGTGTTCCAAGCCCCTCATCAGCCTTGTTACCTTCCTTTGGATGTGTTCAAGCGTATCAATGTCCTTCCTAAACTGCACACAGAGCTGGACACAGTACCCTGGGGGTGCTCAGGGGGGTGGACAGCCCTGGATGTGCCCTTGCCACTGTTCCCACAGCCCACGGGCTCTGGAGCTGCCCTCGCTGGGAGATGAGGACCAGGACGTGGCCAGGGAGCGGGCGAGGGTGGGCAGCATCCCCCCACACAGCCACCTCCTGCTTCTGAAGGACCTGACCAAGGTGGGTGCGTGGGCTGGACCCTGCTGTGAGCTCCAGCCCACCCAGGACCCATGGCCCCTGTGGCAGTGACAGGAGGGAGCACCCAGTGCCACCTCTCCTCCATGCAGGTGTACCGGCGCAGGAAGGCTCCGGCCGTGGACCGGCTCTGCGTGGCCATCCCCCCCGGGGAGGTGAGGGGCAGATGGACAGACAGACAGCTCTGTGGGCAGGGCCAGGGCTGCCTGTGACCCTGCTCTGCCCCCACAGTGCTTTGGCCTCCTGGGGGTGAATGGTGCTGGGAAAACCTCAACCTTCAAGATGCTGACAGGGGACACAGAGGTGACGCTGGGAGAGGCCTGGTTGAAGGGGCACAGGTGGGTGAATGCAGGGACTCCATGGCTTGGATTCCTCTCCGTGTCCTCACAGCACCTATGCCACCATCTCTGTCCCCACCTGTGCCCTTCCTGGCCCTTTGCCCTGCAGCCTGCTTCATCCTCATCCTCGTCCCTGCAGCTGCTTGTCCCTGTTCCCACAGTACCCCTGGCACATGTCCCCATCCCAGAGTGTGCTCACCTGTCCCTGTCCCATGCTCACTTGTCCTCATCCTGTGCTCACCTGTCCCTGTCCCATGCTCACCTGTCCCCATCCCACAGTGTGCTCACCGACCTCCAGTCTGTCCACCAGCACATGGGTTACTGTCCCCAGTTTGACGCCATCACGGACCTGCTGACGGGGCGGGAGCACCTGGAGTTCTACAGCCGCCTGCGTGGGATCCCGGAGGAGGAGACCCCCAGGGTAGGGCCCGTACCCTGTCCTCCCCAGCCCAGGGGGAGCCCCCACCCTCACCCCCTCTGTCTCTTGCAGGTGGCTCAGTGGGGCATCACCGCTCTGGGGCTGGGCCCGCACGCTGACCGGCCGGCGGGCAAGTACAGCGGGGGCAACAAACGCAAGCTCTCCACGGCCATCGCCCTCCTCGGCTGCCCCCCTGTTGTTTTCCTGGTGAGGGGGGCATTGGGAGGCCGCACGGCAGCACCAGGGTCCTGCCCAGGCTGACCCAGGGCCGGGACCATTGCAGGATGAGCCCACAACGGGGATGGACCCACAAGCCCGGAGGTTCCTGTGGGAGCGCATCCTTGGCGTTATCCGGGACGGCCGGTCCGTGGTGCTCACGTCCCACAGGTGAGTCCCCACCAAAGGGGAGCACCCTGTTCCTGTAGGAACCCCCCAGAAGGGAGTGTCCTTCTGCCCTGGGGGGCTCACACGTGTCCCCCCAGCATGGAGGAGTGTGAGGCGCTCTGCACCAGGATGGCCATCATGGTCAACGGCCGGTTCCGCTGCCTGGGCAGCGTCCAGCACCTCAAGAACAGGTATCAGATCGGGGGGCTAAGGGGGTCTGCAGAGGGTGGTGGCCATGGCCTGTCCTCACAGCAGTGTCCCCTCTCCCCGCAGGTTTGGGGACGGGTACACGGTGGTGGTGCGGGCGGGGGGCCCTGGCCCAGCGGCGGTGCAGGCCCTGCTGCAGCAGCACTTTCCCGGCATCGTGCTGAGGGAGCAGCACGGGGGGCTGCTGCAGTACCACCTGCCTGCCCGTGTCACCTCCCTGGCCACCGTCTTCAGCCTTCTGGCCGCCCACCGTGGCCCCTGCCACATAGAGGACTACTCCGTGTCCCAGACCACGCTGGACCAGGTGACAGGGGAGGCAGTGTGAGGGCGTGGGGGCCCTGTCCCACGGTGCTGTCTCTCATCCTGCCCTCCCTGCAGGTCTTCATGCACTTTGCCCAGGAGCAGAGCGATGGGGACGCCGGGGAGGTCACAGCCCCAGGGCAGGATGCGGCCCCTGGCCCGGGGAGGAGGCTGAGCAGGTTCCTGGAGGACGACAGCTACCAGGAGAGTGCTGTCTGAGTGGGCCGTGGTGTCCCTTGGACCCCCACAGTCCCCTCCTTGGTTGTCACCACAGCACGAGCCAGGGTCACAGGGCTTTGGGAACTGCAGCCCCCCAGAGCTGCACAGAAGAGGCGTGGGCGCATCCTGCCCGCTGGCACGGTGTCACCATCGCATGGGACAGTGGGTGCTGGGGAGGGCTCAGAGTGCCAGGACAGAGCTGGCCCCGGCTCCCTGCGGTGGGGTTGATGCCCTGTGCGGGGCTGAGCTGGATGGGGGGGTCTGGGGCTGGCCTTGGGACCCCGCTGCTCCCCACCGGAGCCGAGCTTGCTGTAACAGAGCAATTCAATAAAAACCCACGGTACTGCCGGGGGGCTCCACTGCCCTCGCCACAACGCGACCGCGGTGGGGAACAAGGCGGGGGCACAGTGGGACAGCACCGCGTCCATAAAAAACTACTCCTAATATCCAACCTAAAATCCCCTTGGCGCAGCTTAAGACCGCGTCCTCTCCTCCTGTCAGCTGCTGCCTGGAAATCTGAGGGTCGATGTTCGCCTCCGTCAGGCCGCGCCTGGGGGGCTCCCCCGGCCTCGCGGGGGGCTGGGACGGCCCGTGCCGCGTCTGGGGGGACAAAAGCGTGGTCCCGAGGAGGGGCTTCGAGACCGTGCCTGGGAAAAAATATGGAACGCTTCACGAATTTGCGTGTCATCCTTGCGCAGGGGCCATGCTAATCTTCTCTGTATCGTTCCAATTTTAGTATATGTGCTGCCGAAGCGAGCACAAAACCGCCTACACCCGTAGCGCTATTTAAACCTCCCATAGTGAAAAATTTTTACCTCAGTATGAGTTAATTTTTTTTTTTGATTCCTTTGCTTTTCTTCACATGGTCACTCTCCCAAGCGATAGATTCTAATTTTTTATTCTAAATCTTCCACTTTGGTGAAATTTTTTGCGCTTTTAAGGCCGAACGGCCGGCAGGAGGTGCCGCCTGTGCGCGATGCATGGTGGGAAATCTTTTCATTTGCATGGAGGCGGGGCCGGGCCGGAGCGTGTCCGCCACCGTCCCGTCGTGCTCCGGGTGCGCGTGCGCGCGCACGCGCGTGAGCCGCCGTGGCCGGCGGAGGAAAATGGCGGCAGAGCGCTGAGGGACGGGACGGGACCGCTGAGCCGCTTGCCGCGCCCGGGCCGCGCCGCGCCTCCCCGCCCTGCTGAGGGACCCCCATGGCCGCGGGGACATCCCGGCAGCCACGTCCCTGGTGCGTCTGCTCCGGCCGCGTAGCTGCCTGGCCCCGCTGAGTGCCCAGGCCTGACCCGTCGGGCCTGACCCGCCGCCGCCCCGAGGCGTCTGAACCGGGCAGGGGCCGGGGAGGGGGACGGAGGCAGCGCCGGTGCCGCGCCCGCGGCCCCTCCGCAGCGCCCGCCCGGCCCCAGCCCGGCCCGCGGAGGAGCAGCAGCATTTTCGGGCCCAGCCCTCATCCGACCCCGTCAGGATGTCCGAGAACCAGCCGAACGCCAACAACCACCACCCGGCCAACAACGCCGGGGCCGCCGGCGGCAACAACCGGGGCGTCCGCAACCCCAACCTCAACCAGAACCCCCTGATCAACGTGCGGGACCGCCTCTTCCACGCGCTGTTCTTCAAGATGGCAGTGACCTACGCGCGCCTCTTCCCTCCCTCCTTCCGCCGCGTCTTCGAGTTCTTCGTTCTCCTCAAGGTGAGGGGCAGCTCCTGCCGGCCCGCGGTTGAGCTGAGGGCAGGAATTTTATTAGAAACACCGAAAGTCGTGCCTCTGCCGGAGGTAGCAGGCTGTGTTTGGACCATGCACACCGAGCTGTCCCCGGAGCTCCCGTGGGCCTCCCCTGTGAGGCAGGCGTTGGTCTCCGTGGTGGTCCCGGTGTTCCCTGCACTCTGGAGCTCTTCCAGATCTGTAAATCAAAAAGAAATTGCTGAGCCAGCTTGCTGGGCAGCCAGGCTGACGCGAGGCAGGAGAGGTTTCCTTTTCTGTTTCCTAGCAATGGCACATTTTGGATACATTTCCCACATGACCTACGGATTGTTGGAGTTTTGCTGGAGTCTTGTCTTTTCTGGAAGCAGTTAAGGCACAGCCCCGTTTCTTTCAGCAGTGCCAGGAATGTGTCAGTGTGCTCTGGGGTGACCCCAGCTGCCTGCTGGCTGATGGGGACCCTCCCAGAGGGGCCTGTCAGTGTCCAGGGGTGGCTGCCCTCAGGTCAAATCCTGCTCCACATCTTCCAGGGTGAGAAATTAGGGAAAGGAGAAGGGGAGAGCAGCTTGCCAGGCAACAGCAGCACACTCCTGTAGGTTTCAGCAAGAAAACATTCAGCACAGCTTGTCTCATGCTGCACAGATATGTTTTCTACCCTTTCAGGAGACGTTTGGGTTTTTCACATCCCTGTTCCCTCTCTCAGTTGTTCATCTGCATCCTGGCAAACCAGCTGGGACAGGGGTAGTGCTAACGGTGCACTGGTCAGGCAGAGTGGCTGGGAGCAGTTTGTTTTGCTTCTGCCTCTGATCCCAGCTCCTCCCAGAGAAGGAAGAACTTCCTCAGGGCTCTGTGGAGAGCAGCCTGCAGTGTCACAGGTCAGCAGCCTGCTCCCAGTTCTCCTCCAGCTGCTGGCAGGAGGGAAGTGGGAACCCACATTCCCATCCCGAGCCCTGGAATTACCCCTGGCTCTTCTGTGGCTCCTACAGCCAGGGAGGTGGCTCTGCTTTACCTTCCCTCACATGTCCCTGTGCAGCTCCTCTGCAGAGTGATGTTTACCAGGCTGTTTGTTCATCACAAATAGGTCAGGACGGCGGGGCTGATGAGGACAGAGCGGGCAGGGTGGCTCTGAGCTCAGCAGTGCCGCTCGCTGTGCCAGCTCTGCTCTGAACTTTGGACATCTCTGTTCACTCCAGGGAACAAGTGTTTTTAGTCCACCCTGCTTTGCTGTGGTTTATGGCTGTTCCTGGGATGGAGGCAGGACAGGGAGCTGTGCTGCTCTGTGCACGGCCTCGGGGGCCAGCTCAGCCTCCCCAAGGCAGGACCTGTTCTGTGGGACAACGGATCTGATGTGGCTTTGGGTCATCCTGCTTGGCTTTGCTTAGAGTTTTCTTTATTCTGCCTTTACAAAGCTAGGCAGGCTTCTGTAGGTTTCAGCAGGAAATTGTTTGTGCTGAGGAGGGAAGGGTTGGAAGGCACGGACATGTTTCCATTTCCTTCAGTGTGCCTCGTGGCCTCACCCTGCACTGGTGCTGTGTGTGGTCGGTTTTGGGGACACTGTTGGATGCAGGACCTGAGCTTTCAGAATGCTGTCGCTGTCTCTGTCACTGTCACAGCTCTCATGAGCAGGAGCAGTTGGTTCCTGATGCCTTTGGTGTGTTCCCTGCTGGAACTGCCAGGGTCTGCCTGCTGCCTTGCTGGTGCAGGGAAGCATCAAAGCTCTTGTCCACTTGCTGGTCCGCTCGCCCAAGTTATTCTGATGTTTCACAGGCTGAGAAGAGCTGCTGATAACTAGGGGGTCTGACAGTGTCTGCCTTGTCTCCTGCCCTTTAGGCTCTCTTTGTGCTCTTCATCCTGGCCTACATCCACATCGCCTTCTCCCGCTCTCCCATCAACTGCCTGGAGCACGTGCGGGATAAGTGGCCCCGCGATGGAATCCTGCGGGTGGAAATCCAGCGCAACTCCAGCCGGGCCCCCATCTTCCTGCAGTTCTGCGGGGTGGACAAGTTCCCAGGAATGGTGGTTGAGTCCACGACTGAGGAAGAGGAGGAGGAAGAGGAAGAGATGACTGTGGATATGTTTGAAAACAGCTCCATCAAGGTAAGGATGCGCTCCCTGTGTATGCTGGAGAGAGGGGAGTCCGGGTGATGGGCTGGGGAAAAGTTGGAAGTGAAGTTTCTGTGTGATCCCTTGGTCTCCTGGAAACAAAGCCTGTTCCTTGGCTGCTTCTGAATCCCCACATTGGCCTCTGATGGTTTAACACAGAAAGGAAAGCCAGATCAAATGTCCTTTTGGTGGGGGTAGGGCTTTGTGTGGACAGAGAGAGCATGGCGGGTGAGAGGTAAAGAGGCTGCTGATGTGGCTTTCCCTACTCTGGTTTTCCAACAGTTTGAGCTGGATATCGAGCCCAAGGTGTTCCTCAAGCCATCCCGGGTGAGCAGCACTGAGCTGCCCCACAACGACAGCCAGGAGTTCTCGTTTAGTGACGCAGCCACTAAAGGTATGCAGCCTCTACGGGAGACTGTGTCCGAGTTTGAGATGCTAGCCCGAGCAGGTAATCACACCTTCACTGCTACCTGTGCTCCTCCTTCCTCCCATCATCATCCTCCCCACATGTCCCATCCTGGCTCCTTGGGGCACCTGCACAGTGACCTTAAATGTCTTCCTGGGGATAATCCTGTCAATACTAACAGCAGACCCACAGCAAGCTCTGCCCTGAGGCCTGGGGGAGGCTGGATTAGAAATTTTGCCAGGCCAAGAGGCTTCAGATCAGCCACAGGTGAACAAAGGCTCTTGGCCTGGCAGGGTCCTGTGGTGATTGGTGTGAGGTATCTCAGATAAACCTGAACTCCCTGTTCTGATTCCTGCAATCCTCAGGGTCTCCTGACAGTGACATTCCTTCTAGCACGAGCAGGGTTTGGGCTGTGTTCTGGGTGCTGAGCCAACACCAGCACTTGGAGCAGCCAATTTGCTACAATTAATTAATCCCAAAAGCCACCCAGCGGGTTTTGGTGGATTGCAATACAGCACTGCTGTTCCACTCGGATGTTCCCTGGCCTTATCCCACCCTTTTCCTGCCTGACCTAAGCTGCTCAGGACTTGTAAATTCCAGAGGCAGATTTAGTAGCTTTGTATTATTTAAAATGGAATTCCAGTGTGGAAAAAGTTCTGTTTCTAGTGGTTAAGGTAGGAAGTCTACTAAGGAATATTATCTTAAAATAGAGATGTGGACTTGGATTCTTTGGTTTTTTCCACAAAATTTGCTAGAATTTGGCCTCTTTCACCACACTGTTGTCCATGTGAAGGCTGGAATTCTTTACCCTGCAGACACACTGGGGTTGTGGCTGTGGAGGAGGATGAGACTGGACACTGTCTTGTTCCTTGGTGCTCATCCAGAGCTCATTAGTCCTGAATTAAAGGTCATTAAGACTAGAGAGCAGTAAATGTTTTTGGTGCAGGACCTTTATTGCTGGTGCCCGGGTTCTGAGAAGAGTCACGTTGTGCTGGGCTGGGGCACTGGTGGGAAGTCCCTTGTTTTGCTGAATGCCTGGTTGGAAATGATCCAGAAAAGGAGAGGAAGAGAACAGGCTGTTTCCCAGATTAGTTACAAAATTCACATCTTTAATTCAGTCCCAAATATCTGATTTAAATATTTTTTCCACATTTTCAGTCTTCTCAGTGCACGAAATTTTATGTTTAGTCAGAATATTTTGTCAATTTTACAATGACAAAATATTTTATTATACAAAGGAAGTAATTGTTTGTTGATGTTTGAACCCTTGATTTCCTTTTGAGCTTAAAACTGTTTATAATGGAAACAAAAGACAAACCAAACAGCCCAGCTTGTGTTTGCTGCCCAAAAAGGGGATCAGGAGATCTCTGTCAGTGCTGGGTCAGGTGTGTGTCTGTTCAGTTCTTGTGTCACTTTAACTGTCACTGTGGTGCTGGGAGCTGCCTGACAGCTGCCTCCCCCCTCCTGGAGATACACCCTGGCAGTCTGAAAGAGCAGGGATTAAATTGCTTGGCTCTGGCTTAGCGGGAGGTTTTGTCCTTTCAGAGATGATGTAGCAAAAAAGCATCTCTTTGGAACCTTTCTTGAAAAAAAAAAACAAAAACCAAACTGGGGAAACTTCAGGCACCACCAGTTTTTGGGAAAGCTGTAATTGCTGCTGCCTTCAGTTCTGACATGTAATTGCAGCAGTGACCTCAGTCCCCTGGGAAGTGCAGGGCTCTTGCCTCTGGAGCATTTACTTGGTGTTCAGCAGGTGTAAAGTGGATTTTCCTGCTGGTTCCCAAACAACATGGGAAGCAGAAATTGAGCAAAGCAAGAACAGGTGGCTCTGGGTTTGCCAGGCAAAGATGTGGGCAGGTTCTGGGCAGAGCTTGGAACTGCTGCCCTGAAGCTTTCCCAGAAGTCCCACATTAAGGACTAACATCAAGGGCTGTAATTCCAAAGAGTTTGTATTGATTTATGTTTAATTGTTTGAGGGAAGCCTGGAGCCCACATTTACAACCAGTTCCCTTTTCAAGAACATGATGGGAGGGAGGGAGGGAACCCAGTGGGGCTGTTTCTTCGTGCTGGCTGTTTGCAGATGTGGGTGTTGAGTCTCCCTGTGTCTCTCTCCCAGTGTGGCCACAGGAAGAGTACATTGTGGAATATTCTCTGGAATACGGCTTCCTGCGCCTGTCCCAGAGCACGCGGCAGCGCCTCAGCATCCCCGTCATGGTGGTGACCCTGGGTGAGTGAGAGGGAGGCAGCCTGGGCAGGGCAGGGGCTCAGGGGTGGGTACCTGCAGTGCAGAGACCTCCACACCATCTCTGGGAACGCTTCCTCAAGCTGATGGTGCTCACTTCCCACGCAGGGGAGCTGCATTGTGCAGCCTGTCTGCCTTTAGTAGGTCACAGCTTTTCAGGAGGAGCTTTATGAAATGGTGGAGCCTGGTTCAGTGAGCCCTGATCTCATGCCCAGCACAGTTTTCCCACATGGAGCAGGGAAGAGCTCTCTCCTTGGCAGAAGGCACTGAAGCTCTGAGCAGCAGCAGTAGAGCCTGGAGGCCAGAGCAGCTGTGCAGGAGCTGGGGACGGTGCTCACAGATCTGTCACACTGTGTGTGCTGCTGTGCCCCTGTGAGCACCAGCAGGTCATTTCCCCAAACAGTGTTCTCCTCTCCTGGCATTTGCTCTGTTAAAACCTGTCCAAGTCAGGAACACAGCCTCAGACCTTCTCGTGCCTGTGAACCTCTGTATCTGTTAGTGCAGCAACCAGAGAGGAGCTCATCACTTCCTCCCACTCAAGCTGAAGCAGAGCTGGATGGGGGTTAAGCAGCTTTCCTGTGCAGTAATGAGCAATCAGGGTGAGCCCCAGAGACAGGCCAAGCCTAGAAGGCAAATTCCCTTTGTGTCTGTGCCAGCACAGAGTGTGACATCCCTGACAGTCCTTAAGGCATGACTGCCATTTGCACTTCAGTGTGGCTGGATCTGTCAGGGGGTGATATTTTCCCTCCCAGTCCTCCCAAGTTTGGTTTTACTGCCCCAGGTCCACGTACAGATGCAGCTCTGGTGGCACAAGTATCCCTCACCTTGTGCCTTTTTGGCTCCAGGTGTGAACAGTGTGAAAGGTTTTTTGTGTTCTCTCTAGATCCTACAAGGGATCAGTGCTTTGGGGACAGGTTCAGCCGCCTGCTGCTGGACGAGTTCCTGGGCTACGATGATATCCTGATGTCGAGTGTCAAAGCTTTAGCTGAAAACGAGGAAAACAAAGGTAAGGCCTGGAGGAGTGTCAGCAGAGGCTGCTTGGAGCAGTGGGTGTTTGTTCTGTGGATGCCTGACTATCATCTTCTGACTATTGATTAATCTGTAATGCAGGGAGCAGCTCCCTGTGTTATTGTCAAGGACAAAATGAGAGAGGCAGGAGGGGAGAGGTGTCTGGAAACGTGATTTCCTCCCACCTCACCGCCCTGCATGACAATGAGTGCTACCCTGAGGATTTGCTCCAAATCCTGTTTCTTCTGCAGGCACTGGAGCTTGGTTCTTAGTCTGTAGCTTAATCACACTGAGCTTGTGTTTGTGCTTTTTCTCCAGGTTTCCTTCGCAACGTGGTGTCTGGGGAGCATTATCGCTTTGTCAGCATGTGGATGGCCAGGACATCCTACCTGGCAGCCTTCGTCATCATGGTCATCTTCGTAAGTCACTGTGAGCTGGGCAGTGCCTGGCCTCAGCCTGGTGCTGGGCAGGGACTGGTTGGTGTTACAGCAGAGCTCTCAACTGCTTTTGAAGTGTAGTTGGTGGAGAATGAGGCCCTACTCTGGAGCATGTTGTTGTTTGTTTGGTTTTTTTTTTAAGTTTCTGAAGTCCACCAGTGGAATGAACAGTAGAGCTGACCTAAAATGCAGTGCTGTTTTTGTTGTCAAAAGGGAGCTGCTGTTAATTTCTAAGTGTCCTTAAAACACTCCAGCTGTCAGTACAGGGTGCAGACATTTGTCCTCTGAGACTTTTAAGAACAGCCCAGACTGATTTGCCAGGAGTGATCAAGATAAACCAAGTGATGATGTGTGAGACAAGGTGTTTTCAGATACACATCAGACAAGCTCCCAAGCCATAACTACCTGGTGTTTGTTGTCTTGGGTGGCTGTGGGTGACTGTCTCTTTGTGTGTGGCTGTCCCACCCATGGGGCAGGTCTGTGCACAATCACACTGTGGGCACTGAGGAGGAACTGAGTGCAGGGAGGAGCGGGATGGAGGACAGGAAAATCCCTGCTCCCAGCTCTGTGGCTTGGTGTGGCCCCAGCGCAAGCATTCAGGGTTGGTCCCTTTACAAACAAATCCCTTACTGTCTGTTCCCCTGCAGCAGCACAGAGATTAATTGCTGTTTGTGAAGCACTAATTACTCTTTGGGAAATGGCTCTGCACAGCTCCAGCTAATGAATGTGGGATGTGCAAGCCCAGGCTCGCCTGGGTCTGTGCCGCACTGCGATTCCAAGCGACTCCCTGCAGCCGTGGGGCTCTAATCTGCCTCCCCTTCTCTCTCCTGTTCCAGACTCTCTCTGTCTCGATGCTGCTGCGCTACTCCCACCATCAGATCTTTGTCTTCATTGGTAAGGACTGGCTGAGGGGTTTGGGTTGTGCTGGGCGCTGTGCCTGCTGCAGCATGGGGTGTTGTAGAGTCACAGCAGGTTTGGGTTGGAAGGACCCTGAGGATCATTAGTTCCAGTTTAGAAGGGTCCTGCCTGTAGCTGCAAGGGGAGTACATCCTCCTGCTCCCAGTCACTGCACTTGCCAGAGCTTATTCTCTGTCCTGAGAGGTATTGGCTGGGGACAGAGGATGTGGCTGCACTGAGCAGACTGTGGGGTGGAGGATTCTGTGGCCCTCTGTCCTCTCCATGCCACAGCATGTTTTCCCTCTTGCAGTTGACCTGTTACAGATGCTGGAGATGAACATGACCATTGCATTCCCTGCTGCTCCACTCCTCACTGTTATCCTGGCTCTGGTCGGTAAGGACTTGCTTCACTGCTTGTGTCTGCAGCACGTCCCTCTGGGATCTGTGGGAAGTCTAATTCCCTGTTCCAAGCTGGCCGTGGCAGGTGGTTACTGTGGCTGCTCATCACAAGGCAGAAGGCTCTGGAATTTGATGGCACAGTGAGCTCCATTGTCCTTCTGGGTCCCCTGGAAAAGTAGCAGTTTGTTGGGAAATCCCAGAATCCAAAGCTTTGTCTGTCCTTGAAGCTCGCTGCAGACTTGCACTATATGGCCACATTGCATTTGCACAATTTTAATTTAAAAAGCAGCAAAATTTCCTGAAATCTGTGCTGTGGGATGCAGCTGATCCGTGGGATGTGGCAGGCAGAGCATTCTTGGCCGTAGCTGCTGCCATAAGCAGAGCCTGGTTACCTGCCCTGGGCAGGTGCAGTCAGAGGTGACAGAGGACCCCTTCCCAGGCCCTGCCACGTGCTGATGTCCCCTCTGTCCCCAGGTATGGAGGCTATAATGTCCGAGTTCTTCAATGACACAACAACTGCTTTCTACATCATCCTCATCGTGTGGCTGGCGGACCAGTACGACGCCATCTGCTGCCACACCAACACCAGCAAGAGGCACTGGCTCAGGTGAGGGCTGGCTGTGGCCACATTCCCTCTGCATGTCCTCCCCCAGCTGCTCTGAGTCCTTCCCAGCACCCCAGGCACAACGGCCTCCACTCCTAAGGGTATTATTTATGTGGCTGCTTGGGAGCTGCCCCACATGTCACAGGATCCAAAGTGCAATTCTTCCAATTTTGGGTTTGGGCCTGGGTCTTGCAATCACCTTGATCTTCCCCAGCCTCTTGTTTTGTCCTCTTCATAGACAGTCAACTCTAATTAGCTGTTAATGAATCTGTCACCCGCTGTGAAGTGCCCCAGATCAGCCTGGTGTTGGGAGGAGAAGGGAGCTCTCATTTTTCCTGATTTTTCTTGCTTTCTTGTCCAGATTCTTCTACTTGTACCACTTTGCCTTCTACGCCTACCACTATCGCTTCAACGGGCAGTACAGCAGCCTGGCACTTGTCACCTCCTGGCTCTTCATCCAGGTGAGTCCCTGCAGGGCTGCTGCACCTTGGGGGGCTTTGTCAAACTTCCTCTCAAGCTGGGTTGGAAGGAAGGATCCTTATTTCTGTAAGAGGTGGAATTAAGCCTGGTTTGGAAATGGAGCAGCAGAATGAGGCTCTGGATGTTTGGACTGCTACCTCCAGTCCAGCCATGGGACTGACAATAGCCTGATGCCACATGGGTGCTGGGAAAGGATTTCTGTCCTGTCCTTCTGGAATAAATCCTGGGGAGGATTTATTCCAGAAGGTCTGCCTTGCAGAGGTGCTATTCAAGTCTGTGCAGTGAGGATGCTGATGGGATCAGCTCCAAGCTGATGTCTGATATCCTGGATCCAGCATACCTGTTGGGTGAATTTGGTTGTTGACCTGCTGCAGGGTGGGGACATGGAATAGAGGATGGGCCAGAGGAATGCTGTCATCCTTCTTTTCCCAGCCTTTGAAAGTGAAGAGGGGTTGTACTCTGTTGCCTGTCTTCAGAGAGAAACTATAAAGCAGCTTGCAGTAGTCACAGTAGAAGGGATAAATCTTTCCAAACTTGCTGCTGACTTTCTGGGTGTCAGAGCAGCAGGATTCTTCCGGAGAAGTTTGGTTTTTTTGGCCTGTGACCCAGGCCCAGGGTGACACTTTTCCTTTTCCTCCACCAGCACTCGATGATTTACTTCTTCCACCACTATGAGCTGCCAGCCATCCTGCAGCAGATCCGGATCCAGGAGATGCTGCTGCAGAACCAGCAGGTCGGGCAGGGCACCCAGACCACGCTGCAGGACAACCTCAACAACAACACCACGGCTGCCCCAGTCGAGGCCGGGGGCCGCCGAGCCCCGCTGGCCCCCGGGCCCCTCGGGGAGGGCGGGGGTCCGGCCGCGCTGAGCCCCGGCGAGGCCTCCAGCGTCATCGCCGCCGCCGCCTCCGTGGGCAGCGACCTGAACTGGGTGGCTGAGACGGCTGCCATCGTCACAGAGGCCTCGTTTCTGTCCGACCTGAGCACCAGCCTCCTGGAGCCCACCATGGTGCACGAAGCCATGGCCAACGGGACCCCTCAGGAGGCGGCCACGGCCTCCGGGCTGGTCGCCCGCATCAGGGTCAGCAGCGACCACCCGGAGACGGCCATGGGCTCCATCACCATCGAGGTCACCTCAACGTCCGTGGTGGCTGCAGCAGATGCTTCCCCCGCTGCTGGGGCTGCCCCGCTGCAGGAGGGGGTGGTCTCCAGCCCTTCCCTTCCCAAGCAGACTGAGGCTCTGGAGGGCTCAAACAGCCGAGCAAAACCCAGTGGCAAAAACTGCACGGGCAGCAGCAGCGTGGCAGAGCCCCTGCCAGCCTCGGGGGCGGACAGTGACCAGGACAGAGGTTTGGAGGACCGAGGGGAGAGCAGCCCCTGCCCAGCACCAGCAGAGAGAACGCCCAGCTCAGAGCCAAGCTCCAGGAACCTGTCCTGAGCCCGTTGCTGTCACTCTGGACTGCCAGGAAGACATTTGGATTTTGTTTGTTACTATTTCTCACTTCACCATCATCCTTAACCCATGGATCCCTCTGAGCAGAGCCGGAGCAGCTGGGACAGAGCAGGGCTGCTGTGACCTCCCTCCCCTAGGAAAGGCACTGGGGGGCTGTGGGAAGGATGGGGGGTTTTGGTCCCCTGGCCCACACGGCTCCAGGGCTCCTCTGAGGCCACAGGTGAGCCAGCTGCCTGTTCCCACCCTGCCCTGCTCGTGCCCTGGCTTTTCCTTGTCCCCCAATCCCTGGCTTTGCCCCTGCAGCTGTGTTTGCAGTCCAGGTGCTGATCCCAGGGGGCAGCTGACCTGGGACAGGCCACGGGTGTGGCAGCTTTGTGGTTAGAGTAGGAGTGGATAGAGCAGGCAGAGTGTCCAGCCCCTGTGGGAGAGCCACAGAGGTGATTCCTGGGCACCTTTCCTGCTCCTGAGGGGAGGAGGAGCTTTTACCTTCCCCAGGCACAAAGTCTGCCCAGGCTAGGGCACAACCAAAGCAGAAAGCTGCAGTTCAGCCCCTTTTTTCTGTCCTTAAACTTCCCTTGGTGGGTGGGTTGGGAGGTGGAAGGTGCTGTGTCCAGCTGGGAGCTGCCATCCCAGGAGCCATGAGTGATGCTTGGAGGGAGCTGTGCTGCAGTGGGTGTCTGGAGAGGTGTGGGGTGAGGGCAGCAGCTCTGTCCTGCACAGCTCTGCTCTGGGTGAGGCAGCTGCTTTCCAGTGCCTTGTCCCTCCTGGGGGACACGTCTGTGCTTTGGATCAGCCCCATCCCAGAGGAGAGAGTGGCTCCTCATGCCTGGATTGTTGCACGAGCTGGTTTAGCAAAGAACCAAAACACTAAAGCAAAGACATTTCACCTGGTTTTCCCACGTTTGCCTGGCAGTGGAGGTGAGGCTGGCAGAACCTGACCTCTACAAGAGGCTGAGCTGGGGGGCTGCCTGTGGACCCCTGCAGAGGGGCCAGATCCATGCCGGGGTGTGCTGGAAGGAGGGTTTGTGCAGGGAGGTGGAGCAGAGCGAGGCAAGATGAAGCTCTGGGAGAACCATGGTGGGACAGGGCAGGGACAGGAGGTGACACGTGGGCACTTAGCTCTTGGGGACAGCTGGGTCCCTGCACACATGTCCCGAGTTCAGTGTTTTTCCCCTATGGCTGAGCAGTGTCTGGAGTCCCTCCCCCTGGGAGGGCTCCCTGTGTTCCAGTGTTACCTTATCAACACGGGGGGGCTCAGACCCCCCTCCTCACCCCTCTGCCTTTCCCACCTGGGTGCCCCCTTTTTGTTTTTCCTTTTTACCTGGAGCAGCCATGGTGCTGCTCCAGGGCAGGGGGGACCCTGCTGTGACCAGCAGGTCAAATCTTGCTGCTGCCAGCACTCCTGGGAAGGAGCCTTGTGGCCAAGTGGCTCCCAGGCTCTGGAGTGCCAGGAATGACCGTAGGCTTTTCAGAGGAGTGGGTGGGAGGGGAATGGGGGACACCAAACCAAATGATTTGATGAATGAAGAGTAGAGTTCATTCTATTTAATTAATGTACAAAATGTGTTTGTATATAATAATAAATATTATCTCTTAACAGCTCCTGCGGCGCTGCCCCATGTCCTGCCCACGGCTGTGCTGGGCTGATGTGTGGGAGTCCTGGGGGCAGGGGGGTGCAGCGAGGTGGATGCTCAGTCCTGGGGGTGCCTCCTCCTGCCGTCCTGGGCTGTCACCTTCTGTCCCCTTGCAGTGTGCAGGGGCGGTGGCAGGGCAGAGGGCCGAGCACCAGCCCTGTCCCGGCCATGCTTGGTGGAGCTGGGCAGCCTCCGTGCCAGGGGAGGGGCTGCAGGGCTCCGGCTCCTTCCACGGCCGCCTGTAGTGGCATGGGGAGCTTTTCCTTATCCTCAGAGCCCCGAGCCGAGCCTGTCCTGCTCCCCGTGCAGCGTCTCCATCCCTCACCCTCCACCCGAGGAAGGCTCCGGCTCTGCTTTGCGGTGGCTCTGAGATCAGCCCGGATTTGGAGCTGGAGCTGCCTCTCCAGAGGGAGGTTTCGGTCTCTGCCTGTCCTGCCCCGTGCCTGTGGGAGCTTCCTCTGCCTCCTCCTCCTCCTCCTAATCGCGGCCGTCCTGCGGCGGGGCTGAGCTGGGCCTGCAGAGGAAGGAGGGAAGGGAAGGGTTGCTCTCAGCCAGCCCTGGCTGCGTTTGGGGAAGAGGAAAAGCAGACTTCGTCTTCCTTCGTCATCTTTATTTACGTGGTGTGAAAACAGAGCGGGGGCGCGGGGCTGAGCTTTGTCCAGGCACTGCGGAGACCTCTCACCCCAACTCAACCGCCCAAAAAGAACCTCCCGGCCCTCCAAACCCCACTGCCAGCAGAAGGGACAGGGGGAGAGAGACAAAGACCGCCGAGCTGGGGCAGCACCTGGATATCCCCCCTCCCTGCTTTCCTCCCACTCCCCCTCCGAGCCGGAGGAGCAGCTGCCCTGCCCTGCCCCTGGGATGTTTTGGAGGGTCCCTGCCCCCCACCTCACCTCTCCTCCCGGTCTTCCTCGCTGGCCAGCGGGGCGGGCAGTGGCCGGCAGCCCTTGGTGGTGCCCAGCACGGACACCAGCTCGCTCTTCCTCAGCAGCGCCGCCCGCAGCTGGTCCCGCATCTCCTGGATCTTCTCCTCCAGCTCCCGCAGCTCGTTCTCACCGGCCGCTCTGTCCAGGGGCTGCGGCGGCCGCCCGTTCCCGGGGTGCCACGGAGGGGACCCCTCATCCTCGGGGGGGGCTTTGTCCAGCTGGAAGCGCACCCGCCGCGCCTCCTTCCGCAGGGCGCTCCAGGGCTGCGCTGCCGCCGGGGCCGACCTCGGCTGGGGCTCGCACCTGAGCGGGGAGGGCTGAATTGGGATCGGCTGCTGTGGGGTCCCTCCGCAGCCCCACAGAGCTCTGGCTGTCCAGGGGGAGGAGGAGGAGGAGGAGGAGAGCAGGGCAGGCTCCAGTCCCAGCCGTACCTCTTCTCCAACTTCAGCTGCTGGCTCTTCCGCTCCTCCGTGCCCATATTCAGAGCCCGATGGATTTTCTGTGGGGAACGTGGCAAGAGGGACTTGGGGGGATGCTCTGGAGGTTAACAGGCCAGGGATTCACTGGAAGATGATGGTCTGGAGGTGATGGTTCAGGGCTTAAACGGGGGTTTGGAGAAGGGCAGAGGTGATGCAATTTAAGAGGGAGCAGCGGGGTTAGGGGTCTTTGGGGCGCTGTGTGAGCCCCTTCCCCTGGCCCCACCTGGCTCGTGTGCAGCCAGTAATTGAATTTCTTCTTGCGCCGGATGCGGGGCAGGACGAGGCGGTAGAAGACGTGCTCGCCCAGCGAGGTGAGGAGGGAGCCGCTCAGGCCGATGCACAGCAGCACGAACAGCCCCGAGAAGTGGTAGATGCCCATCTGCAGGGTCTGCGGGCGGCAGGGGGTGTGGGCTGGGCTGCGGGGGCTGTCAGACCCCAGAGCCCCCCCGGCCGAGGCGCCGCCGCACCTCAGTGACGGCGAAGACGCGTTTGCCGCAGGGCACCATCTTGTACCACTTGTCGTGCAGGAGGTCGATGAACCCCGAGGACTTGTAGCGGCTGATGAACTCGGAGACGTTGGAGGTCAGCGGGGAGTTTTGGGGGAGGCCGATGCCGTAGCCTGGCCCCGGTGAGGGGGGGGAGAGAGGGGCAGTGCTGGGAGAGGGGTTGCAGCCCCCAGTGCCCACCACAGAGGGGGCATGACCCCAGCCCAGTCACACACACGCAGCAGAACCCCCTTCCCAGCACAGCCCCCACAAACCTTCGATGGCGAAGGGTTTGCCCACAGTGAGCAGTTTGCAGTCAGAGTCGATGGAGACCTCATAATCCAGCAGGGACTTGTCCATGATGAAGGCGTTGAGCTTGGCAGGCTCTGTCCTGTGGGGACACGGGGGGAATGCTCAGGGAGGAGCTGCACCCCCTTGTCCAGCATCCCCCCAGCCTGACACCCCTCCAGAGGTGGGGGGCTCTGGAGGGTGCACAGGCTCCAGGACTGGGATAAAAGATACCCTGGGAGGGGTAAAAGGTGGGGGGAACCCCTTATGCTCTCCCTGCCCCTCACTTGAGCATGGTGACGCCATCGGGGGTGGTGGGGACGTTGTAGCGCCGCATGTACTCGTGCATCTCGGGGAAGCTCTTCTTGATGTACTCCTCAGCGCTGCTCTCCCACACTGTGCCGAAGCGGAAGCCCTGTGAGGGGTGATGGAGCTGGAAGGAGGCACCAGAGCATCAGCACCCCTGGCCCCAGGAATGTGTCCCCATCCCCTGGGGATGTGTCCCCAGCCCTGAGTCCCAGGCAGGGTGTCTGGGCAGCCCCAGAGGTGCAGCTCTTGTAGGGGGTGTGGGAAAGAGCTTCCCCAAGAGCAGCCTCAGCCCAAACTCAGCCCACTTCCCCCTGCCCTGGAGCTGAGGCTGGGATTTAACTCCAGTGGGATACACACTCAAAGCTTTCTGCAGGTCTCAAAGACCCCCTCCACTCTTAGGAGGGGCCAAAATCTGGGGCTGGAGAGAAGAAGGAAGGTGCAAAAGGAAGGGCAGGGCCCCCCTCAGCCCCTTCCCTGGCCTTCAGCCCTCTCCCAGCCCACATGAAGCAGCAGGACACTCACTCACCTTTGGGTCGTGGATGCCTGAGAGCTCCTCGAAGGTCTTGTCCCCCACCATGACAGCTGCCAGGTTGGCCGTGTAGCTGGAGAGCACCAGGAGGCAGAAGATGGCCCAGAGGTTCATGAGGAAGCGGCCGGTGCAGCACTTGGGCGTCTTGCTGGAGACAGTGCGCCCGAAGAGGATGGCGTAGCAGAGGTTGAGGGCTGAGGAGTAGGAGAAGATCTTCATGCGGTTGCGCCCGTGGGGGGTCATTCCATAGGGGCTCTTCCACTCGTAGAGGGTGAGGAAGAGCGCGGTCATGTGCAGCGCCACGAAGATGCCCACCCACATGGTCCAGTGCAGGGGCCACATGAAGGCCCCGATGGGCGACGCCGTGTCCTTGGTCCTCACCAGGATGCCCAGGCTGGTGGAGAAGAAGGGGCTGGTGAAGTCGATGACTTTGCTCCGCGCCGAGTTGATGCTGAAGGAGGTGACGGCCATGTGGGCCGTGCCACTGAGCAGGTCCCCCACCAGTCCCGTCCAGCGCCCGTTCTTCCAGGCGCCGTATTTCCCATCGCCCACGATGTAGAGCTCGAAATCAAAGGCCATGTCCTCAGCCAGCTTCTCCAGCAGGTCGATGCAGTACCCATAGCAGCATTTCTTGTACTCCTGTGGCACCGATCCGTTGCCGTTGCCAATCTTCTCAAAGAGGGCGTCCAGCACGGCTGAGTCGTTTGTGCCGGGGTCCAGGCAGAGCTGCCCGGCCGGGCAGTTCCCTTCCTCATCCACCTCCCTGGTGAAGACAAAGGGGTGCTCCACCAACGTCACCACCCGCAGCCGTGTCCGGGCCCCCTCGGCCGCCTCGCCGGGGCTCTTGTGCTGCCGCTGGCTCTGCCACACGACCTCCTCCAGCTCCAGCTTGCCGTGGCTCCAGGTGCCCACTGTCATCCAGGTGGGGACCCCCTGCGAGTCCCTACGCAGGCTCCAGATGCGGAACTGCTGCTCTGGCCTCACCAACGCCGTGTTCTCCACACGCACCAGCCCCGTCTGGCCATGGAAGGACGTGTTGGCCAGGAACCTGCCAAGGGAAGGGTTTCACTGCTCCATTGCTTAGTGTCAGCTGGGACCAAGGGATGAGGCTGGGAGCTGGGAGAGGGACGTGCCTGACACAGGCACGGACAAGGTCAAGGAGGAGCAGCAGGATCCGGCCCCGCTGCGCTGCCCTGCAGCTCACTGTGCTGCCAGGGCCAGAGTTATTAATATTTATGGAGTGACCGTGCTTGGGCAGTGTTAAGGAGATCTGAAGTGACACGTCCCCCCTGTGCAGTGCTAACCATGTCCTGGGGGTCTGAGCCCCATGGTGGTGGCTGGGGACAGCACTGAGGGGTCCCTTGGCTCTGCCCTTACCCCATCCCAGGTCTGGGGCAGAACCCTCCCATGCACCCCAATACCACAGAGCCAGGATGGGGGGAAAGAGGAGCCCCCAGCACCCCCTTACCGGGCAAGGAAGAGCCCCGGGGACTCGCTGCCTGCCCGGTGCCTCTCATTGCAGTTGCCCGTGGTCTGCAGCTGTGCGGGGTCAGGGAGGCCGCGGGCAGCGCGGGCGATGGCCTGGGATACCAGTCCCACCATGTCCTGCACAAAGAGCTCCAGCGGTGGCCGGCTGACCTCCCCAAAGGCCAGCAGCCCTGGGGGCAGGCCCTCGGTCTGCAGCTCACTGGCGCTGAGCGGGAAGCCCAGCATCCACTGCAATTCCTGCGGTGGCAGCCCCAATTCCTCGGCCGCCTGGAAGACGAGTCGAGCACGGTGCAGGTCACAGCCCAGCAGCAGCACGGGGCTGGACAGGGTCCTGACACGGTCCCCGTGCTGCCGCAGGTAGCGGGTGGCCCTGGGCTCATCCAGGTAGCCCAGGTCCAGGACAGTGCGGAGGAAGAGCTGGGAACGTTGGGCCCAGAGCTCCAGGAAGCTGTCAATGTCCC